AGCAGCAGCAGCAGCGGGTGCGGATGCGGATTCAGATGCTGCAGCAGCAGCAGCAGTTGCTGCAGCAGCTGCTGCTGCTGCTGCTTCTCCCAAAGCAACACTCGCTATCACCTCGCTGCCGGTCGAGCTGCACTGGCGGCAGCAGAGCCTGCGGCGTATACTACAGACCCTGGAGTTGTATAGGGATACGATTAGGGGGCGGGTGCAGCAGCATTTGTATGAGCTTTCAGAAGCATCTGCTGCTGCTGTGGGGCCCCGGGGCCTCCTATCAAAGGAGACAGTTGCTGCAGTGCATGATACTCTCCAGACAGTGCAGCAAACTCTCTCCTTCGGTGCAGACGGAGACAGTTGCACTCAGGCAGCAGCAGACCTCCAACGCAGCAGCAGCAGCAGCAGCAGCAACAGCAGCAGCAGCAACGGCAGCATCAGCAGCAACAAAAGCCGATCAAACAGCAGCATTGCACAGACACTGCGCGGAAACCCCACAGAAAGAGACTGGCTAAAGACAGGCCTCGATATGGGGGGGGTCCTCCCCCCCCTTGCTATCCACCGCTGCTGCGCTGCAGCATGGAAGGCCTCTAGGGACGGAGCTGCTGCTGCTGCTGCTGCTGCAGGGGGAGCAGCAGCGGACGGAGCAGGTGCAGCTGCAGGAGAAATGCAACCACCGCCTGCTCCTTCATCGCAGCAGCATGTGGAACAACAGCAGCAAGAGCAGCATCAGCAGCAGCAGCAAGTGGATGATATGCAGCAATTACTGCAGCAGCAGCAGCAGCTATTGCTGCCTGATGTGGGTGTTGAGCTGCGTTTAACATTTCGTGAATTTGCAATAACTTTCTGGGAATCTAAAAATGTTGTATTGGGGAGAATGGCACTGAAGGAGCTGAAAGCATGTAGTTGTTTTTACTCAAACGGAGACACCGAAACTTCTTTTTCTATTGGCGATGGTGGGGTTGTATTCAGAGACAAGTGTGTACTCGCACCACGGGCTGCATATAGACCCCCCCAACAGCACCAGCAGCACCAGCAGCA